CGGTATATAGCTGCTGGCCGAATCGCCGGTATTGGCGTCTACAATTGGTAATCCTCGATGCTGTTTCAGCCTGAGCAAGTACAGACCCTGACCTATACGACGCACCCGCTGAGACCGCAAGATTCTCCTCGTAAGGCAAACCTGGGCCTGGTGCCGCTGCTGCACCGACTGCACCGAGATGCTCCGCGTGTTGAAGCCCTGCTGAGGCCCTCTTGCGAGGTAGCTTCGGTTTGAAGCACAGATAGCTACCGAACGCCCAAAACTTGCACCAGCACCTCAAGTGTGAGTGTGACAACAGTATACCGAGGTTCGATTATGCCTGTTGGCGACGACGAGGCTCCTACGGCTCTGTGAACACGCAGCCTGCTGTGGCATGCAGCCTGCTGCCCAGGGGGCTTTTGAGGGGGGGTCAAAAAGAAAACAGGATACCATCTGCGAGTGCCCGGCGTACCTGTTTAGCCGCCTTGACCAGTGTTACGTCGGGCCTTGTGGACCGATTCGCGTCGTTTCTTCTCCTCTACCCTTCAGCAGTGCACCTTCTAGCGGATCGTCTCTTCTGCGACACCAACCGCGCGGTGGGCGTCTCGTACTGACGGAGCAAGGACCAATAAAAAAAAAAAAAAATTATAAACCAAATAACACTGCGTATAAATAACTGAACGTGGGGGGGGGGTCGACGATGGGGTTTTCACCCGCATATTATGTACCCTCATGTCAGCGGTGCCCACAGCCCCCGTGCCGGCCCTATACGCACTAGCCGCCACCACATCATGCGAGCCAGGCTACAGCGGCACGATGCTCTGTTCCACCTGTTTCCGACAAGCGAGTTATACGTGCCGTGCCTTGACATTTACAGGGAAGGCGTGTCGGCGTAGAGGTTTGCTTGGTAGTAGTCGATCTACAGCACCAGCAGGAGGAGGAGGAGACGTATCTCAGCACAATTGGCGCAGCAGCATTGCAAATGGCCTCCGGATACGACCAGCTGAAACTGCACCCCCAGAAGGTCGCCGTTTGTGGACCTCAAGCGCCGTAACCCGACACCTCGACGTCGGGGAGGGTCGCTGTCTTTCCCAGGATTCCGGGAATAGACCGCAAGAACACGCTGGTGATGAGCCCGTGGAGAGAGCAGAAGCTGTTGCTGCGGCTGCTGCTGCTGCTGCTACAGAGGCGAGCCAGTGGACATCAAGGAGGTCAGCTGGACTTGTTGATTCATGACTCAACAACCACATAACATGATGGATACCGCCTCGAATACCTTACCCGACCGGGAAATGCGTTTGAAGTTTGAAGTACAGCAGCCAAGGTACAGCAGTAGGTCTGTGTAGTTTGTCTATGCTACCATATCCTCTCCGTTTCGCATGGTTTGTGGATGTAGTTAGTGGCCCAGTCCCGGCCGCTTGCGGATGCTCTTTGTAGGTGTTGTACCACTGCAGACTCACACTCAGGGGAGTAGCAGGTACGGACGAAGTCATGGAAAACGTTGTTTATGCCTCGTGCCTCGGGAGAGGGAGTCGATATAGGTTGGTTTGCGGCCGCGTTACCATGATGGTCGAATTTGTGTGCTGTCGAGGGCGGGACTGTCACTTTTTCTCGCTCTCGATTAAGTACAAGTCACAAATCACGTATGCTTCGAAGTAGGTACGAAGAACCCCAAGGAAATCCAATGCTAGCAAGATCCCTCGCTAGTTACTGCACCTACGGTTCAGGACTGTTTGCTTTGTTCAGCACTATGCATGCCTATGCCTTCATTTCATGGAATGCTTTGCCTGGAGAACGGGGTCTGCAGTATGCAGGATTGACGTCATGCAGTCCAAGTGGGCATGAGATGCCGCACATGATACACACGTGTTATATGCACGAGTAAGAAGTCTTGGGTGAGCTTGGGGCCAGTAGAGATGAGCAAGGACGTTGGCGTTCTCACTATGTACGACTGCTGTTCCTTGCATTCACCTGAAACCTAGCCGAAGATGCCCCACACTCGTCACAAGCAAGCTACAGACGGCCGAAGTGTCGCTCATCAGGTCACCTGCCCGGCAAGATTCCTATCGGTATTATCCGGAGTGGCTGCCGCCAGCGAAATCGCGATATAAGGATTTGCGCTGGAAAACCCAGACGTTAAATCTCGTTTTCCCGGAGATCAGCAATTCTTGGACTCCGGCCATCAGGCAAACGTGTAATCGATTAACATATTTAATATTTGTCTCGTCCGCAATCGATGCCATGCCGGCCCACGGCAGCGATGCGCCGTCCCACGACACGGCAGCTCCACGAAATTCACGGATCGGTGGGCTGGGCACATCGAATGATGCGGAAGCGAAGTCAAGCAATACGGCATTTCAGCTGTGCTCCCAGTTTGTCGACAGGGAAGGGCGGGGCAGCAAGCCTCAGTTTGGGTTCAACGGCCTCGGAGAGCTCGTCTACCAGCGAACGTACGCCAGGTACCTGGGAGAAGACACGGACGACCGTGAGCAATGGTGAGGGTGTCCACAAAGAACTTTTTTGCTGGAAAGGAAAGAATGGTGTACAGCGCTGCCGTAAGCCTTGAATATAGATGCATGTGGACATACGCATAAATTACTAGAGTTGGAGGTGGAATAGTTTTTTGTGGTGGTTGCACAAAAGTACCTGCAGTAGGCTCGTGCGTCTGTTACAGAAGAGCGGGGGGCGGTCCAGCTAGAGAGGGGGGTGGTATCCATCATCATTCGCTAGAGGGGGGATGGTGTCCATCATCAGCTAGCGAGGGG